AAGAACATTGGGGAAAAGACCTCGCAATGACCGCGTAGACAGGACTGCGTTACCCGGGATCAGATAGCAAAGACAAAGGGTCTGTGCTGCTGTTTATTCTTTCATAGCCTTTGCCTTTCCTCCTACAAATCCTCCCTAAAGGAGACACTATTATTTATTAGCCCTGTACTCTACTAACAGCCCGAATTTAAGATAACCCCTTTTGTTCCACCGCACTTAGTGGATATTTGATTCCTATTCAGGAGGGCGATAGTGTGTGTAAATATTTGGTGCCCCACAGAGCAAGGTTTGACTTACAGGCTCTCATCGCTGCGGCACTTGGCTGGCAGAGCCCCGCGCGTCTGATCTCCCACGGCACACTGCCCGCCAGAGCCTGCCCGGCTGCGAAGAAAAGGAGCTGCAGGTCGGCAGCGATTAGAGCCCGGAGCCAAATCCCCCTTCTCCATCTCCCGGATGGTGTTACGGTCCCCCTGAGGACCGCAGGGAGCGGCTGCGTTTATGAGGATGGAGATCCCGGGGATGCCCCAGTTTCTAGAAGTCCCGAGCGGAGCGGTGCCCCGCTCCTCCCCGCCTGCTGCCGATGGCATCGCTCCCTCCCTGCTCCGGCAGCTCATCCCCGGGCAGGCTTTCCCCAGCTTTTGGACCGCCAGCCGGCTCCCAAGTTGGATTTTTAAAGTAGCGCTAATGAAAATGCTGGGAATGTCTGTGGCTCTCCGGCAGTTATTTATTTTTTTTTTTCCTTCTTTTCATTTTGTGGGTTCTCCCATCCACTGCTTTGCAGAGTCGCTGGCACTCCGCGCAGATGGGGAGTTTTGACAAAAGGAAACTGTTGCTTTGTCTTCCAGACGTTTTTCTTGCAAGTTGGTTTGTTGTTGTTTTTTTTTTTCACCAGTTCTGGTGGAAAATGGAGTTTTGGCTGTGCCCTAAGGAAAAGCTGTATTCTTTCATCTCTCCAGCTGATAGCTAGTTAAAGAAATGTAAGTAAAGCAATGTGTAAAGCAAGGTCCGTGTTAGGGGACAACAATAAAACTTACAAGCAGAGCCATTTAATTTCACCCTCTCCGTACACACTGCACACGCCTTTCCTGGCCCAGCCCGTTGCCAGATCTATGTTAAGATTTTAAATAACAAAACTACATTGTATCTTGGAGACTAAGGACAAAATAAGTGGATTTTTTCCTCTCCCTCACACATGATGAGAAAAAAAAGAAAAAAAATAATTAGAAGGCCATTTTCCCAAGCTTCTCAAATGCTTTGTTTTGTTTTTTCCCCACGAGTTCTCTTCGGTCAGAAATTAGGCTGGCTTAAAATGGGAGCCCAGAGCTCCCAGGAGCAGGCTGGGAACGGGCAGGTGCGAACACATTAGAGAAAGAGTCTAAACCCACTGGACCGAGTAACGTGAAAGGTGTAGTGTGTCCCCCCCGGGGCACGGGGAAGGGACCGGACCTGGGGGTGGGAGTTTGCCTGGCCTTAACGTGGCCACACTCCGCTTTCACCAACTTAAATCCGGCGTCTCGCAGCCACGCAAGCCCGGGGTTGCTGAGAGCACGGAGGCGGCGATGGCTGAGCGGGTCCTGCGAGGGCCACCAGGTCCCGGTCCTGAAATACCCGAGGTTAAAACTGAGATGATCTCACCTGCCCAGAGCCGGGGCTCTCTGCCGTGCCGTGCCGTGCCGCTCTCCTCTCTCTGTACGCCGGAGTCCTGCGAGAACTGGGTTTGGACATCCCCTTAGCGCTCCCCACCAGCGATGTCTGGGCACAAACACTATGAAACCCACTTTCTGGTTTCTTCATTGCCTTCTTTCATCCTCAGCATCGTGCTTGTCCTACAGCAGGAAAAATAGATCCAAGCGGCCAGGATACACATACTGTGAATGTTCTCTGGTGTGATTCATTTGCAGAAGACCAATAATATATTTAACTAGTGTACAAACGAAAGATGCATTTTAAAAGAAATGATTTTAAAGATTTATTCCAAAAGAAGCAATGATTTTTTTATAGAAAGTTTTTCTGGAATAAATGGAAAGGTACAAAAAAAAAAAAAAAAGAATAAAAGATTGTATCCATCTATCAATCTTGTGTCTGAATGTTTTATAAGAATATTTCAATTTTTGTATTTCAGATGTGACATGGACTATTTTGTGGATGTGCTCATCTTATTGCTAAGGCTTATATTACAGTTGTATTGTGAACGCTCCAAAGCCAAGATTGGACAATAAACTTTATTGAATACAGGATAGTTTTGTATAGGATATAAATTTTTTTTTTTTTTTTTTTTGGTAGGAGAAGGATCCACTTTGGTTTTGAATATCAGCTAGGTAGCACTGACATCTC